GGCATGGGAGGAGCATTTGGATAGTGCCGAAAAGGTTCGACAAACTGTTATCAAAAATCTTGTCATTAATCCAATCACTATTTTATATGTAATATCGAGTGAAAACTTGTAATGTTTTTATATATTTGATAAGTTTTATCTAAGGCTATAAAGTTAATTTTTAGGTTCTTATAATATAAATTTTTAAAATTTCAGCAACCCGGCTTTTAATTTTATTTTCAAAAAAATTATATATATAAAAATATAAAATTTTTTATAAAAATTAAAAAAAAATTTATTTCAAAATTTTGCAGAATTTGACCCGATCGAGTTATAAGAACCAATTAATTAGATTTGTATGGCTACTGTAAAATCTATTTTCGATAGCACTATTAGAAATTAAATTCTGCAAGGCTATAATGATTAATGCATAAGAACTTACAGGTTTTCATTTACGTAGCACTTCTTTGTATTTGGATTGATCTTTTTATTATGTTTATATCATTGTTATTACTGCAGTGTTGTTTAAATTTATGGTCAATAATAAATTTACTGGTCATTGGTCAAATGATCTTTGGTCTGGTCAGTCTGGCCAAATTGGTCAAATGACATAGTTACACAGACCAATCAGACCGATTCGACCAATTTGACCATGGTCAAATTGGCTAGTATTTACAAAATGGATTGCATGCATGTGATTTTAATTTGATTCTTTTTTTTTTTTTTTTAGAAACGCTCTAGCTCAAATAGTGCCAGATATTAAAACTTTATTTTTTTTTTAATGTTAAAGGTGACCTTGCTCTATATTAAAACTTTATTAAATTATGTTAGAAAGCTATACAGCATACAATTGATATACCATTAAACTAGTGATTCTAGCTGTATGAAGCAGATCAGCTGCTATCTAAAAGTTTAGCTATTAAATTAGTGATGCATGTGGTTTTTTGCCTGTATAATGCAGACTAGCCATGAGCATGAAGGAAATGCAAAATGACAAGGAAGGCCACCGATAATCTGCTGGTCTTATCGCTATACCCTGTCAATTTTGGTAATATTAGTATATGTGCTATGTAATCTGGACTGGTAGTTTATTAATTACTTATCTGTCTCCTTTCGGCGGCACTTGCATGTATTGGATTTTCTTGTTGGTTTCAGGATGACCCATGTGATTGTCAGCACACTAAAGTATAATACCTTTTTGATCTGTTGACCCTTATCAACTTGAATTATTAATTATTTATGCGATTAATAAAAGTTCAAAGAAAACATAACGCTAATACAAGAATGTAGATCATACTATTATTTTATATTTACTCCTAATTACGTAAGGAAAGTTCGCACCCCTACAAAATACTTTATTTCAGCTTGCCGCTGAATTATTCGCACTATGAGCAAATTCTATAATAAAATATCGAAGTAAAACTTATATACTATTAAGATAAATAAAATAAAGATTGTGTTAATAAGTTTATAATAATCAATTAAATTCTCTATTGCATTAAATTGATATTGATGATGATTATTGATTAAAATCTAATGATTTTAATCAATTATAATCAGGTTTCAAAATTTCCTGATGGATGTAAAATGTGTACATGAATCTGCACTAACCATTAATACGACTACAAAATTATAAATCCTATAAATACAAAATACTGCCGTCGCGATAAAATTCTATTACCATACTGATTTAGAATAGCCATAAACATTCTTTTTTCGATTTTACCTTTTCTTTGTTCTTCATATGCTCGCATGAGATGCTACATGTGTTAAAGACATTTAATAATCAGATTATCTTAAATCATTTGCAAGACATTCAGAATCTTGGAACTTACCATTAATCTAACACGAATTGGCTCTTTAATTGAACTAGTTTATTCAAACTACAGTATGATCAAATCACATTAGTATAACTGGTCAAATATAAAAGCTATGTAAAAAAATAGATGTCAGTATTCAAAAATGTCTCAATCGCTCGCATAGATTAACAAAATATGTTCATGTCCAAGATAAATTAGGTCCAAATCAAACAGCCAAACGGGCTATTTGCAAAGCTTGCGAAAGCCATGAAAATATATTTGAAAATGGAAAAAATGAAGGACTCGAATTATGGAAGGTATATAAAAAATAGGGATTTTTTAACAGGTGAGACCGTGTACAACGACACTGGAAACATTGTAAATATTGGCGCAGGTTTTGGGTTAATGAAGACCAAGAAGTAATGACATACGAAGACCCTGATGAAAATATGGCACGTAATGCTGTTAGCGCATTGCGCCAAGCAAGAGAACGAAATGATAGAGCTATGTCCATTGTTTCATCAAATTCTAGAACTTCAAATGCCTCAAGTGTATTAGGATTGATGTTCACTGACAGTACACAAATATCAGAAACCTCTTCGACCTCTTCACATGTTAGTAAAGTAAAACAATCTAAAACAAAAAAAACAAATTATGTTCTTGATACATACGTTGTTCGTCCACTAACAACAAGCCAGCAGTATGAATTTAATCGTCTGATCTTGCGCTTGATAATTCAAAATGGGCTCGCACTTCGATTTGTTGAGAGTAGTACACTTTGTTAATTTTTTTAACCCAACCATTAAAATTCCAAACCGCCAAACACTAAGTACTAAAACTCTTATTGAGTATGCAGAAAAATTAGAACAAGCTAAAGTTTTTGCTCTTTCAAAGTCACAAGAGCCAGTTACAATAATATTTGATGGTTGGAAAAACGTGCGTTGCCAAGAAATTTTAGGTGCTGTTATTCTCTCTGCAACAAATCAGCTATATATATGGGGTGCTGAGGATATTAGCAACCGTAGTCAAAAGACTCCTAATGTATTGAACAAGATTAATGCCTTTTTTGACCGTGCTAGTAATCAAAATCTTAATGTAGTAGCAATGGTTACGGATAGCGCATCAGTTTATGCCTCCGCACGGTATGTATAGATTACAAAGAATAAAGAAAAAATTTTAGAAAAAAAAAAGAAAAAATTAATCACATTATAATTATTACTTACTAGACGCAAAATACGATTACAAAAGCGTAATATTGTTTTTCTCCCATGCTTCGCACACCAGGCTAATCTCTGTTAGTGATATATTTAAACTTTCATCAGAATATAAGCAAACAGTAAGAGATGCCGTTACAATTACATCATATTTTAATGATAAACGACATTCAAAAGCAATATCATTACTTCGTGATGAACAGCAGAGAATTTACAAAAAAATTTATAGCTTTGTGCTTCCAGTAGCCACCCGCTGGAATTCATATTACTATTGCTTTGCAACCCTTCTAAGAAGCAAACGTGCCTTACAGTCATATTCGATCCTATATCCAAATTCTTTCAAATCATTAGACAAATCCCAAAACGTTATTGATGATATTCAATTTTGGATCCATCTTGAAGAATTGGTAAAGCACCTTCTCCCCTTTGTCAGTATTTTGGATTATCTTCAGCATGATGCAGCCAATCTTTTTGATGTTGCTTATGCATTCGGATATATAGCACAGCAATATGAAGATGTACTGACGGATTTGGTTACCAAATGCAACAGAAACTTGAAAAAAGATGGGCAGATTGGGAGCAACCTCTTCTTATTCTGGCTGTTATATTTTATCCACAATATCGTACTCAGGCTTTGTCTAACCATAGTTTTTTTTCTCTTGAGCGAATTACATGTTGGATTGAATATTATTATGAAATGTGGTTTGGTGTAAAGCCAAAGTGTGTCGCCCTAGAATTAACTGAATACTATATGAAACGTGGTATATTTGGCAATGAGTGGTTTGAAAACACTATTGAAGTTATTTCAAAAGAAGGTATGTCAATGAATAATGCAGTTGGACTCACATTGTTGCGATATTGGGAATTTGCAGCAATTGATCAAAAGGAGATTGGTAAAGTTGCTCTTAGGTTGTATAGTATTAAAATTAATTCTGCACCATGTGAGTGCCTTTTTTTCCGAATGGGATGGTTTCAAAGTCCAAGACGCAATCGCCTCAAAGTAAGTAATTAAAATTATTTAAATTCTGTAAATTTAAATAAACTTATCTTGCTGCAGTTACAAACGATCTTTAGAATGACTCAAATTGCAGCCGAAATGGCATGGGAGGAGCATTTGGATAGTGCCGAAAAGGTTCGACAAACTGTTATCAAAAATCTTGTCATTAATCCAATCA